AAGGGGGGGGGGGGGGGAGGTCGCAAACTTCAGCTTCGTTGGGTTTCTCGTGTCCAGGGTTAGTACTTGCGAGGGGCCCGAACTGGAACGCGTCACTCTCCCCGCGTTCGGCCAAGTCGCGAACTCGAACCCGCTGGGTACCCGGGGCCTAGGGGGCGAGCAGGCCATAAACTCAGTTCCGCTTGGTTTTCCGGGGGTGGCCTTCGGTGGGCGGCAAGCCGGTTTTCAGGGAAGTTGGGTTCGTCGGGGGCACAGCGCCGTACTCCCAGCCAACCCTGGTCCAACGGTCATCATAATGAATGAGTTTGCAGCCACAATTCTCACAGCCAGGTATACCAACTTCCGATACCTGTGATATCAACTCCAACAACAAACATGCTCGGTGATGGCTGGACTTGTCTAGTTCTCCTGCTGCAGACTACAAGATACCCTCGAGAGATACCCCATTTTTTGACTGTGCCGGAAGGCACATACGAATACACGAAAGGTGGCCAGTAAGACGACCGTCTAGAGGTATAAAGCTTGCTTGGATGAGTTTCCGTTGTAGGATGTCATTCGTATCGGGCACCAGCACGACAAGTCCTTCCAGAGATAGTTGCATGCGGGACGCGCAGTGGGAAATATCTTGTGCGATATTCTCCATGCACCTCCTCGCCACGCCACGGTATCGATAGGCGCGCAATGTGCAAAGCCTATCTACGACAGCTGCATTACCGTCAATGTGCCAACGGGCATAGCTGACTGGAGCATCGCCGTAAAAACCAAGGGAGTGTCGTGACTTTGCGTCAAGATTGTCGAACTCAACATCCGCTGATACACCCAGCTCGTCTACAAATGCACGCCGGCGTAAAATTCGTGATATGTCTATGTTATTGCGGTACTCGGATTCACTCATCGTGATATCAAAAAAACGAAAGTGTAAGTTAACGTCAGCAGGTTTCCGCAAAGTCCCGTCCACTTCACGCATGGAGCTCAAGATGAAAAGGACTTTGACTGTGCTACTATGCTTGGGACCAAGTTTTTTCTCGCAAATTCTGCGCGCACGCTAAAACACAGCTTAGGAACAAGGGGATTACAATAAACCAACCTCTAGTTGCTTCAGCGCATCTGCATGGCGCCCTTGATGGTGTAGCTCGTTGGCTCGATCCACGAAAGCATCAACTCCACGTTTGGCCAACTCGACCTCTTTGGTGTCCGCCATGGAACGTTTGCTTAGCTAGACAGTAGTGGCCGAAGGAGCGAGTGATATTAGAATCGCATCATTCGCCCTTCGCGAATGGAGTGCACTCTGTCACATTCTCGGCCAGCGACTGGGGGTTATTTAAAAGCTTGATCAAAGTTTGCCCGGTTTCCGTCCCGGAGTCCGCTGGCCTTTCGTATCTCCCACTGGCCTGATTCAGTTCGCTGTCTATGAGACTTACAACTGGATTGGAATGGGTTAAGGAAGGGAAGGAAAGCTAGCAGGATACGCAGTAGGAGCGCAGTGGGGTATGGTGCACTGCAACATCAGTGGAGTATGGTGCACTGCAACATCCAGATGCAGTTCACTGAAGATCAGGGTAGACATCTCCCTATCTCTCTAACGATCGTCCCAGCTTCATCGCGCTCACTTTGATACGACCATAAGCGAAATTTAGCCGCGATTTCACCGGTCGACGCGCGCGTGGTCGACGCACAGACTCTATGGGCGACTAATGAATCTCGCTGCGCCGGGCCGAAGTGTATTAATAATTAATTATTCCTATGGGCGGCCTAGATGTACGTTGACGCTTCACTGATCACCTGCACATATCCCCTGCACAGATTACATGTACCTGTACAATGTCATGTCGATTCTTTACAGAAATTTTGACGAACATATAGCCTCATCATCGATCTGAGCATCGGAAATAGAACTTCAGCCGAGAAGCCCAAATCTCGCGCAAATTTAATCTGCGTCGCTCCGTGTTAGCCTGGATGAATTGCGATAGTGACGATATGTCTATGGCGGATCTAGCCCTGCGTGCTCTAGGGAAGTTCACGCGCGCAGTTCGGACATCGTCCTCGCACACCGTCTCGGCGATGCACAATAATGTCCCTAACGTAATACCAGTTGATAGTGAGTCAGAGCCGGTCAGTGCTCCAAAATATGACATCACGAGGGCAGACATTGAGAAATCTGACTCGCGACCTGAAGGAACGACCAAAGTGTCATCAGTGGTTTGTGGCGACACTGCAGGAGATGCCAGGGAAGAGACGCCGCCATCTCAGGAGGGAAGCAGTCTGATGAGATCGCTTGGGGACGAGGCGAAGGGATATCCTGAGGTGATGCTACAACATCACATAGATAATGGTGCCGACCTCCAACCCATTTCAGGAGCTAGGTTGTCTCATCTCTCCAATACTCTGTCAAGCGGAAGAGTGCTCAATCGGCCCGGAATTTCTCCCTTCGTTCATGACTCGGTGGAGTCGACGATCACACTCGAGGCTCGAGATTACACCGCTGAGCGAGCTGCGCGCAGTGATGCCGGTTCAACATTTCCGCGCCAGCCACGCGCCGCTGCAATTCAGCCGCCATCATTTACTGATCGCCGAAGCTCGTTTGTGGTGGGACTGACCCGTCTCTTGGTTGGGCCTAGTTGGTTAGAAAATGTCTTCGACATGCCGAGCGGAGCAATTGAAACTGCGCGCTCGTCAGCAAAACAGCTCTCTACAGATGTCCCACAGTCACATAGTCGGCGCATTGGACGTCCTCAGGCAATCCACGAGGAAATTCACCAGCGTGAAATTGCAGAAATCGACGCAAAACATATCGCTATGAAAAAGGAACTCATGTGTCAGAGTCTACAGGCAGCGTTGTCTTTGCCAATGCTCTTGCGCAAGGTCCCGCGTGACAAGGTTGCGAAGGCGTTCGCCAGCGACATTACGGAGACGCGGCGAAACCACATGGTCATTCACATGCGTCAGTCTGGCTGCAAAGAAACACGGGACAGTAACAGAACTGCTCTTCAGCTTGTGGAGGTCACAAGTCGCCTCGAGGCCGTCAAGTGCATGGCAGCCGTTGGTAGTGTCGCTGCAGCCAAGCTTGTCCTCCAACATCGAAAGCAACAGGAATTTGACGTCGCTTGCCTGCCACTGCCTTCCTCAAAGGGCGAGACGGAAAGGTACTCAAATCGTATTGAGTCGCTGGAAGAAGATTTGCGCCGTGCTCGCTGCCAGGTCTCAGCATCTGCAAACATTGCTCTTGAACGCGCCTGTGCGAGCGGGCAGATCATACCTCGGTCAGGTGCAAGGAAGGCTGCCATAGGAAATAGCCTGAAAACCAACACAGCTGGAGACCAAATTACAATGCTGCAACCGGAACTTAACAAACTTGGAGGGAAAAACCCAGTTGCTCGCGTGCGGCTTGATGGAGCTAATGCGACGTCAAAGTGGCTCTGCGGAGAAGTGCGTGACGCGCCGAGGCTCCAAAAAGATCTCTCGAGCCCACACTGTGGATATGGATCGCTGCACCGTGTTTCAAAACTGGCAGTCTTTTCCAATCTTAAGAAAATATCACAACTAGCTGCAGATGGTGATGCTGTTGAAAGTGATCGAGTGGACGAATGCTGTGCGGTATACAGTCATGAGTTACCTGATGCTTTCAGCGAAGAAGAGAATACACGCAATCTTCAGATTAATAATACGTGGCCTGCTGATTGTTCGAATTGTGATAGTGAGAAGGTGCTTGGGGCCGCGCTCTGCGAAGGAACGTCATCTGATTCGCAAGTGATACATGGCGATGCTATTTGTGCGCTTCACGCGTCGTTTGCGGCGGCGCGAGCTGCACACGCATCTGAAATCGGTGGGCTCAAGAGCGCACTTGCGGCTGCTCGCGCATCTTCAGCGACCACGAACAGAGACACATCTTTTTCAAACCTTGAAACAGAGAGAAACTCCACGGAAGACCGGGACATGATGGTAGAAGCACTCAGACTTGAGCTCAAAGCACTCACTAGCGCGCATGGTAGGGAAATACAGCGCCTGAAAACAAGTCTCCAGGCGGATGTTTCCGCAGGGGCGACAAGGAAGATGTCGGACGACGAATCTAAAACGATGATTGAGATGCTTAGAAATCAGCTTGAGGCTGCAGGCCTAAAACCGATCGATAAGGTCAGTGAAGATCAAAGTCATTTGCTTGATTCCAAGGTAGGTCATTTCCTTTGAAGATGCGAAGGCCAAGCTCCACGCCGCTGTTCAGCGGCTCATGCGAGGCGAATTAGAGGCAGAGTCTGAGCTTGAGGAGTGGGATGCGATCAACCCGCGTGTCGAGTATAGACTATACTAGTTTGCGGCCACGCTTTGCATCACAGGCATTTGTGCGGGCACATCCAGATCACGCTCGTGAAGAAAAAGAAAAGATCTTAGCTTGGGAGGCACGAAACACCCCGCTCAACGAAGAAGCTTTGCGAACCATGCGGTCATTTGTCCCAGAGGACATTATGACTAATTCCAGCGCGAAGAGTCTGCTTGAGGCAGGTGTAACACCAGCTCTAGCGAGGAGGCTCATCAATAACCGTGCACTTTGGCTTATTCGCGTCCACGAGGCTTCAATTCGGCGCCTCCATTTGGACCTCTGAAAGTTTGGGACATCTACCGGTAGGCATTCCTAAAGCGAGTCCATATTGCTGATCTCAAGTCGAAGTACGCCATTCACGGTCTCGACCTCACAGAATTGCATGCTACAGTGTCCATGCATCGCTCGAGATTCATTGACCGTGCTGATTAGGCGTGCTGTTTGGTGTGTTCTCTCACAGATCGTCTTTGACAATGACGGGGCGGGTGACAAGGCAAGATGGAAGGAGGATGCGAGGCTAAAACTGTACAGTGCAATAGACAAGGCAGCGGCGGGGACACTTTCTGCGAGCCGTATCCGCCACAGCGCCTACAAGAATGCACTACCCCTCTTCGATCCTGATGCAAATCCGAGCGAACCCGAACACATGAAGTCGACTGCGTTCACTTGTTCTTACGAGAGGCCGATCCCGAGAAAGATTGAGCGAAGAGCGACAGTAGCAGCGTCCACTGCCGTCCAAATAAAGCAGGAGGGTTCAAGCAAACAAGAGTCTGCGGCTCCCTTGGCAATATTGAAGCACGGGTCAAAAGGTGCATATGCCAAGCCCGCTCTGTCGCTGATGGGTGAACTGGAGGCGAGGCAGCGCAAGTTAGCACAGACCCCTTCTGCCCCTTGAGAAAGAGGGAGCGCAGATCAGCCGACAAAGCGCGCCCAGGAGCATCGTCACGAGTCAGTAAGCAAGGTCCTTGTGTAATTTCGGCCACCAGTTCGGATGGCGCGTGTTCTTGGGCCCCGCTTGATGGTGCAGAGATTCTACACACTGAGCTTCCCCTCTAACACCCACCACGCTCATCCTGCTTCTACGGACCGAACCTCAACGTCAAGTTAATGTATGGGGCTTAGATTCTTTGTAAATTTAGAAACACTGATTCCGCGTCGTCAAGGACGATGAGTGCATGCCCAGCAGCAGCTCAGGAGTTCGGAACGTGCTCACGAATTTTAAGTTGACCCTGCTTAATGTGGATAAGCTCCACGACGAACGAATGGCAATTCCGAAGCAGTTTGACAGGACCTAGCGCAGTTTGGCAAATAGGGGGAGCTCGGGAGGAAGATTCTCCTGCATCTGCCCTACTGCCCTTATTGTCCTTTGCAGGTTCCTATCCTTATATACTTGGACTTCAGTTCCCCGAAGTCCACTCCACTCCGCTACTCCACTCCACCCTGCTTCTACGGACTATACCTTCACGTCGAGTGGATGTGCGGGACTTAGATCCTTTCCGTGCTCTTTGTTTTTTTCTGACCCAGGTAGAGGAAGCCTGAGTAGAGTAGCAAACCGGGGCTAGTAGCAGTGTCCGAGGTAACTCTCAGGCTAGCGCGCTGTGGTAGAGTCGGGACCAAATGCCCCTGCTGGGGCAGCGTGCTGGGCGGTGCTGGGGCCCCTGTTGAAGTGCAAGGTTTTGAGGTTCAAGCCTAAATGGCATTTAACATATCCCGCCGGCGGGATATGTTGCCGCGCCCAGCCTTGTTGGCGACGCAGAGCCGGGGGGATCCTCAGAGCCGCTGCGCAGTTTTCCCGGGGGCGCCAGGGCAGGGCCCTCCTCTCGACAGGCGTGTGGTGGCGCAGCAGGGGGGCTCGAGTGCCCAGGGGGACAGGCAAGGCGCAAATTCAGTCGGGTTTCTCGCGTCTACACCCGCGCCTCCTCTTTGCAGTGCGAGCCACACCTTGATCGGCGCCACCATTAGGGCTGTTTTTAGAAGCCGCGCCATCAAGGTGTGAAACATAATCTGAGGCAACACGGGCTAGGGCATCTGGTTTCATGGAGAGTTGCTGCTGGAGATTATGCCACACGGCCAGGACCTTGCCAACACGGACAGCTATTGCAACACCTTTGCCTTCAAATATCATTCCCAAGTTCTGTAGACGTCTAGCGACATCTTCGGCCATGTTTAGAAGATCTAGTGGCAGGCCGATGTCAACATGACCCAAATACTCACGGCAGTTTTGGATGAAGAAGCCAAAATCCATCCATCTTTGGGGATCGTCCTTAATGCTATCGTCATCAAACATTCTGGACATTTGCTCCTCTGCATTCTCCAATGTTTTCCGGATTGACACAGAAATCTCAGATGCAATGTCAAAGCTTGATCCCTCTACGATAGTGGTCACCTAGATGCTTGTTGATAGCAAAACAGTCGCATGGGTAAGATTAAGAGACGCTTTTGGGAGGGCCGCATCAATGTGCAGATCAAGATTTTCAAATAGACACAACTGAATTTGGAAGCCCACATTTGGATAGATGCAAGAGCGCTTCGAGGATACTAACTCGAACCTGCATGTTGTGTATGACTAGAGGGGTCATTTGAGAAAAGCTAGCCTAGACTAAGCGCTGATTTGGACGCATCCGCATACGACATCTTATTGCGGACCATTAGTGTCGCGATGACCAAGGTTGCAGATCGGGAGATACCTCGGCCACAATGCACAATGACACAGTTATTTCGGTCCAAATTAATGTTGATGAACTCAATGGCTCTTTTCACGTGTTTAAATACCTGGTTCAGTGCAGTGCATTCCAATTTATACATGGTCAAAGTAAGACACATAGCTAGCACTAGCTGTGTTGGAGTATCAAGGGCCTCCAGGAAAAGAGAATCAACATTTTCTGCAAACCATAACTTCAGCGCTTCGCTCATGTGTCCGCTATCAGTTGGATCAACCGCTTGGGGCATAATGGTCACTATTCGCGTGATTTTGTTCAGCTTGAGCCAAACGAGATCTCGCACATTATCTTCAGACCCCAGCCATAGGTTCTCGCAAATTTGCGAAGCGTGTCCCTGAATTAAGGGCAAAAAACGCTCATCCTCGTCCACGGTTTCGACCCATTCTGGGCTCATACCCAATTCTTCAAACCGATTACCCCTTTGTTGATGATGGATATTATTGCTGGCATCCGCACAGCATCTTCAGTGTACAAAATTTCAACCCTAGCATCCTAGCCCTTCCCCTTTGATCCTCCTCCCTGCGCGGCTAACTAGCGTCCGTGGACTATCAACTTGTGATAGGTCACCAAGTCAGGTACTCCTCGACGGCTGCAGTGCGCTGTGTACTTCGGTTTTCGTTGCGATCACAGTGCACCTGCTACCATGAGCGTTCTAAGGGCGATATTCGCCGCTTTATCGTGGTAGCAGGTGCTTCATACTAGCATACTCGGATTCTAACACTTCTTGTCTTTCAACATGTCTTGAATGCACGCCTCAGATAAGACAAGGCCTGAAGTTGGCAGTGCAGTGGGCTTGTATCTAGAGTCTGATTTTAGGATAGACACAGCGAGCGACGGAGGATACGTATCTGTCTAACGTATCTGGATTTCCATGACGCTGCCCCTTTTTTCTTTCCTACTCACTTAACTCCAGCGATTGAGGACAGAGAGCCCCGATCGCAGATTAGGCTGCCTACTTGAGTAGGGAGTCTACTAACTAATTATTACCATACCCTAGTCAAGAGTCAGGCTGAGGGAAAATTACCGCCATACGCTTCCCCGGGGCCCGGCCCCCGGGGAGGGTGCGCAGGGAGGGTGCGGGGAGGGATATTCACCAAGTCACCCACGACCGCGGGGCATGCACGAAGGGCGGCTATGGGGGCGGCTAAGTCGCGAACTCAGATGCGTTGGGTTGTCTACTAGTCCGACTTAGCCTACTGTGCGCTTCAGTTTACAAAGGATCAACATAAAACCAGCTTTCCAGCCCGCCACGGCGACCAATATCACCGGAGAAGCAGCTCCATCCGTTCTGCGGACTCCTCGTGAAGCCCTGCAGCCAACACACTGCCTTGTGGCGGCTTCTGGCGGCCACAAATAACTGAAAGAGAGCTGTGTGTTCAACTTTCACTTCAACATGGGATCGGGCAGGGCGCGTTTCAGCCACTTCTTTGCTCTAGGACTGTTGGAATACATCAGAAGTGTATGCGGAAGCTTTATTCCAACGGATTTGCACGCGTTTTGTGATCCGCTAATCGAATTTTGTTGATCCGTATTACGAAGCGCACAGTAGGTTAGTCAGGACCAAGTATGTCCAGCCCATTGTACTTCC